CCCCGGGAAAGTTTGACGCAGAATAGGGATGTATTTTTACGGTAAAATTAAAATTTAGCGGTAATTTACGTAAAATACCGTAAATTACGGTAAAAAACGGTAAAATTGGTAAAATTCGGTTTTTGATGTTTTATGGCCAAATTCAATGTTTTCATTGAAAGTATGACGTTTTCGGGTGCGTCATAACGAAATATTAGCAGTTTAGCATAGGAGAAACATTGATTTGACGTTTTTAGCCCACGCTTCTCCTTTTAAAAGTTATCCAAACGTCCTGGTGCGTGGAGTCCCGGACCGCCATTATTTGGGGTGTACTCCAAGCGTACTCCGGGGGACTCCGGGTGTGGTGTACTTCAGATGTATACTTCGGGCGCTTAACACTCAGCCTGTGTCGCCCAAAATTTTGAGTCTTAGACTTCTCTATCTGATGTCGCTCGGTCCTATACAAAAAGGAAGTCATATCCAGGTACTGATTTTTTGCCGCCAGTAATAATGTTATGTTCTGCGTTGCAAGAATAATGTCAGAAAAAACGTTATCACATACACGTGATATTTTATTTTTACAAACTAAGAAATTGGCATATTAGAGTGTACATATTGAACGAAACGGTGCGGTGAAATTGACAAATTGATCAGTAACTCCTATTGCTGAAAATTCTCATGTTTTTGACTGATAAAATTATCAGTACAGGTCTGAGAGTGTAGACACTTGGACTATTTAGGGTATCGTGATCGTAGAGGTCACTACTCAACAGTGTACGTCGAATACACACAGATTCATCTGCGTTTTTGCGGTAGCTTTGCCTATTGAAGTTTATTTTGAAAATTACCAATAATACCAATTTTACCGGGGTTTGTGTAATTTACCGTAATTTACCGGTATTTTACCGTAATGTACGGGTAACATTACCAATGCGTACATCCCTAACGCAGAACTCTTATGAGAGAGGAGACTCAAATGTTTCATAAACAACATCTGATAACGATGCGTAAATATGGATCCCACATCGTGAAATACAATGTGTTGGCACGACATTGCAGTTGCAGACGGCCACACATAAAACTCGCCGCCCCGAGCACGCCTGTTTGCCGCGTAGAGCTCTGGACGTCCACACAACACAATCCCCTGCCCCCTCCCGCTAACCCCTAGCGTGGGGGAGGGGGGGGGGCCCATGCATAAGCAGGGAGACTTTCTTGGTCAACTCGGCGACGCAGACGCCAGCTGCTTCGTATGCAGATATCGTACCGGACTATGAAAATAAGACGAGGAAAAAAAAAAGGGACGGAGGAAAAAAAATGGAGGGATGGATAGTCGGCAGCGCAGAAGCGGCAGTTGCTGGAGAGGGGGGGGGGGGAGCGGCCGGAAAAGCGAACGGCAGCACTCGAACCGTCACAGAGCAATACTGCTGGCGCCACCACTTTTCTTCTAGTTTTATTTGGAGTTTTTCGTAAAAGTGTAAAATGAAAACACGGATTGCGACTGTACATAGAACTTAACTTAAAAAAAAAAAAAAAGAAACAGTGAAACGAAATAAAATAAAAAAACTCAACTAAAAGAACGTTGCAAAGTTGGCTAATTTTTTCCTTTCACATGACGGAGTCGACACGAGCGAAACTCTGCCGTTATATTGTACTGCTGGGCACGCGGCGGGCAGAGTGCGGGCGCGGTGGAAGCCATAGTCGAACGTGGGCGCAGCGAAAGAGGGGCGAGGGGAGGGGGGTAAGAGAGATGGGGGAAGTGCTACACACGCGCACAGAAAAAAGGTAATAATAATCATTTCCCAGTCAAATTTGCGCGGCGCGGCGGGGCTCAGAGGACGGAGGGCGAAGCAGGTGAGGGCGGGCGCGACACATTCCCAGCCACCTCACGCAGCAGCCGGGCTAATTCAATTATTGAACTTGCTCCCTAGCGGGCGGCGAGCGGGGGGGGG